ACACAATTTGATCTTTTAGGAGGCAGGCTGGGTCGAACCTGCTTGATAGAGCCAACCCAGGCCAAGAGGATACAGTCTTCCCAGCAGACAAACGGAGATATTCTATAAAAAGCCTCCACTCTCAAGAATCAAACTCATGTCTCCTGATTGAGACAGCTGAACACTTAACCTGTACACAAGAGACACCATGTGGGATTGAGTACCCTCCTAAGACAGTGAAAAGTCTGGTCATAATGGAAGTGTTTGAGCTCTTGTAAATGGCAGTTAGCACTGAATACTTCCCAGGAAGCTGGGGGAAAATTTTGCCAAATCGTATAGATTTAACGCCGTTTTCAACACTGCTAGTTTATTTAAGAAGCGGGACCTGCGAATCTAACATTTTTATCTCCGATAGGACAGAGCCAATTTGGTGTATAGCCTTTAAAACTCCCCAAAACAACCCAAATTCAGAACATCCCGTTTGGAATTTGATCACGGACCATCCACTCCGTAGTCCAGCATGATACCAACTAAGCTAACGGTGCGACCCAGGAAGCTGAATGTTTAGGGATGACAATATAGTGTCTGTGTGTCTGTGTATCTGTTGGTAAAAATAAATGACACGTTCAAAGCAGCATCTCTCCATCTATGTTTCAGGGTGGCCAGTCAAAGTACGTGAAACAGTTTCATTACACCACCTGGCCGGACCATGGTGTGCCCAGATTTGGCCACTCATTACTGCTGTTCCGTCAGAAAATCCGGGCATATGATTCCTTGGACAATGGCACAGTCGTAATACACTGCAGGTAGGTGGAGTATATTAATAATAATATGTTTGTTTGTCCAGTTGTTGTTCGTCACTTCCTTCTCTATTGTCTGTGTGTTTGTCTGTTTGTCTGTTTCTCTTTTTGTCTGTTTCTCTGTTTGTCTGTTTCTCTGTTTGTCTTTGTTCTGTTTGTCTGTCTGTTTCTCTGTTTGTCTTTGTTCTGTTCGTCTGTCTGTCCGTCTGTCTGTCCGTCTGTCTATATATCTCTAATGCAGGATTATCTGTTTTTATGCGACTGGTAACTTAAAATGTTTGTTGTATTCCATGTATAGTTGTCTATGTGTATGTCTGTGTACGTATGTGTTTGTTTGTATGTGTGTTTGTGAGTGTGTATGCCATTGGGTTCTTCTTTCGAAAGAATGTTTAATTTTATTGGTGTTTCTGGTCGTGAATATGAAGTGTATCCTACGATTATCCATGCCTCAGCAGCAGCCAGTTATGTTTAATATGTAGACGGACACACAGGAAAACAGACAGATAGACAGATAAATAAGCAGATAGGCAGACGGCAGATGGATAGATTTCTCTACAAACTCTGCCTAATTTAGAAGAAAAAATATTTTTAGGGCGGTATTTTGTTTGGTTCCGTTTTGTTTTCTCGTGGGGGGG